GTTCGTGACAACGAACAAGTATGGGCTAAAAGCTTCAGTGAGCACTTAAATTTGTTTACGTCATGGTGGTTTGCGATTTATTCACAACTGTATTCTCAAAAGAGAAGTCGTATTTATCGACAGATCGACAGTGCTATTTTAGGTAGCCATCATCCTGGTTCCTCTTTCATCCACATCAAGCGATACCAGTGGCATAACCAACGTGTCGAGCAAGTCATTCCCAAAGACAAACTGTTGGTTTTTAATGTCAAGCAAGGATGGAAACCTCTTTGTGAGTTTCTTGGTCGAGAGGTCCCAGACGAACCGTTCCCTCGAGCAAATGTTAAGGGAGAAGACATTAARAACTTTCAGGGTGATGCCTTAAAGAAGATTCTGCTGTTTATTGCCTTTCTTGTTTTTGTTGCTTCTATAGTATTATTGTTTATCAAGTTCTAGAATATTCGCATCGCTGATACATTCTGGAYAACTCTTCAAGACCTGTTAAGAATGATTAGTTTTATTTTTGTATTTTGCCGAAAATTTCAAGTTTGTACTATAGATCTTCCACAAAATATGCAAATAAAGATTTTATAGTGACCTTCATTTCAGTAAAGACTAAGCGTAACTTTGACTTGAAAGACAACGTGCCCTCTTTGCTAAAAATGTTCAAAGCTCAACCACTATGGAATGATCAAGACAAATTCTGCCCACAGAGCTACGATAAGTTTTAACATGTTTTTTTTTTTTACGATCTACATCTGCCTATTTTTCGATTGAATCTTCTGGCCATTCTTTGTTCATGTTTCCCTGGCAACTGTCTAATTTGGGAAATGAGCACTAAATGGTGTAGACAAAGGTTTGATGTTCCCATAGCCCTTTTTTCTTGCTTTTGTAGTTTCTAGACCAAATGAATGCCAATAACAACGTATTGGTGCTCTTTCGTGTCTTCTTTTTCCTCTTCTGTTCAAACGTGTCAAATTTTGCGCTAATCTTTCGGCGATTTTAGATTTATAGTTTCTGGTAGTTCAAAAAAAAAAAAAAAAAAGGTTTTCGATTGCTGTAAACAAATCTCTTCCTCAGTGTTCTGATCAGCATCATAAAATCAAGATTCTGCGAACAGCAGGTAATGAGAGCGGGTAGAAAAGATACGAACACAAATGTCAGAGTTGAAGTACGCCAAAAATCTTGCAATTCCAATGGACTTTATCTCAGTGACCGTTCACAGCGAGATTTCTTGAGGTTGAAATTTGGCCAAAAAGAGCGCATAGCCATAGAACTATTTTAAAAACAAGTTTTAAAAGAAACTAAAAAACAGCTTACAAGCCAAAGATTAGATTATACTGAAGATATCGTTTGTTATCGATAGCGTAGGAATAAGATTCATGCGTTCTTTAAAATAATCATATATATTTGATCTATCATTTTGCATTCTCCTGGGGAAAGCAAGGTTTCCAATTGGTTGAAATCAAAAAGGGTGTAACGCAGCACCCAACCCTAGTGCCCTCGGGTAGCCTGAAACTCAACATGTTTCTTACTTTAAATTATATCAAATAAAATCCTCTTGAATGTTAGTTTTGTTTTGAATTCTTGCTGGGCTTTGCGTAGGCGATAGCAATCGTCGTTGCGTCTTTTAAAAGCACCGTGTCGTTGTAACGTTTAAAGCTGTTTAAGAAGCAAAAAGCAKGAGTATCGACATTATGACGACTAGTTTACTTAAACGTTAGTTGAACACAAACTAAAGAAATGAATTCCCAAGTATTTTTGTCAGTTTTCCACGGAAAGTTTATTTAAGTTAACTAACTTTATTTATCAAAGCGTTGTCAAGACTTGTCAAGAGGAGAAATTGATGACGGCTTCATGGACGACATTAATTTTCCATAGAACTGTCTGTAAATACAGGGAACTATAACATCATTCCGACTTTGTCGTAAAGCGCGTAAGTCTACCARATGAATCTCTCGCCAGAGTCAACATTTTAGGCAAAGTACTTTAAATACCAACACGAGGAAATGAGCTATTAATAAGCTGCAAGAGTGGAAAGCTATTCAACATGTTTTTATCTTCCACTCAACATGACATTTGGCGAGTTTTTGCTGTTCTTGCTGCTGTTTTTATTTTTCTCACAAACACGTCAACAAATGGTAAGTAAAGTAAAGTCATTTACTTTTTAGTGAAACCGAAGGAAATTTTGATGTCTTTAATTATTGTCCTGTAAATTCTGTATAAATTTTCCACTAAAAAATCCTGTAATTGTAAATACCCTGTAAGCCGTTGCTTTCGGATTGTGTACATCTAAATTTCCATGCATTTTCACAAAATTGTATCGAATTGTCTTTTATTGCAATATTTTAGACTGATTTCATATATTTAAGTCGTTTTTTTAATTTATTTTTCGTTATTCGTAGGAATAATTATAATTATATCTCGGCCTATATTTCACTTGACATTACGTATCCGACTGAATTAAAGTACTTTCTGACTGATAATATTCTCCTAAGTGGGCAATATTCAAACATAACTGATGAATTGTCGTCGCTTCACACCTGCTTAGTCTCTATATTTCAAGATTTAGTGTTTTTTTTATGACATGGTACCGCTAGAAGGCATATCTAACAGTTTTATTTTGAGAGACGAAAACAAAGAGATAGATTAAGTATACCTAAGGGCATTATGACTAATGTAACTAGGGCATTCCTTACGACCTTTGTGTATTTTATAAGGCCGATTTAGACGGTGCAACTTTTGCCTACAATTATCGCTTGCAACATGCGTACATCATCCTTAAAATGTGGCTTCAACTGTCGTAGGGTTATCAAATAATTGTTTTTAATCTCTACGACAGCTGTAGCCATGTTGTAAGGATGACTTACGCAGATTGCATGCGATGGTTGAAGGCAAAAGTTGTAACGTCTAAATCGGCCTATAAAAATACATCGTAATATAAGAGAAATCTTGCAAGCGAGGGCTAGCGAGGTTATTTTTTTATCATATTGCTACTCAAAATATTAGTTATCCAATTAAACGAAGTTTTTGCTTTTATTATTCAAGCGATGTGCCCGCCAAGCCATCTCAGTGGCTTATCAGGAAACTTCACCAGTCCAAATTTTCCAAACCACTACCCTTTGAACATCGAATGCACCTACAACATCACGGCACCACAAGGATACCAAATCGAGATTGAATTTTCTGTTTTCGACATTGAGTATCGCGTAAACTGTACAGCGGATTACCTCTTATTCAAGAAAGCTAGAAGATGGATTAAGTACTGTGGGAAATTCAGCCCACCTAAGCCACGCGTGTTGTCAAGCGATTCAAATATGGTAGTGGAGTTTTTATCCAATACAAATGAAACATTCCAGGGCTTTAAAGCCCATTATAAAGYAGTTCCATTGGCTGTGACTTCAACTGCTTCTCCTATACAGCCCACTAAGACAATGTCTGTAACGCCTTCCAGTACAGTCATAACGCCACCTCATGCAAAGCAAGGTATTTTTTGGTTTGGAATTTTGTTTGTTTTCTTCCGTGCCCTGTTCTTTATGCGTTTGACTGCTGGCGCGCGCGATGCCTTCTTAATTCTTGCTTTAATACGCTGTTGCCTTCAAGTTGCAAGTTTGTTAGCCACCATTTATAAACGATCCATTCTTGTTTTTCATTCGGTGGTTTGCTACGCTAAGCGTTACTTCTTCATTGCACTTGCCCCTTGAGCCTCTTGTCCTCTGTCACCTTGCTACCTTAACCGAAACTTTCCAACTTGCTACCCTTTTCAGGTCTTGCCTATATCTTTCTGCTATCTCGCCATCTTACCATCATCTTGTCATCTTCTTCGCCATCTTCGTCTCCATATTTTGTTTTTCCCTCCTTTCTTGGGTAGTTTTTCTTTCACTTTCCCCAAGATTGTGTTTTCTTGCCTCTTTGTTTAATTGTCTGTTAGCCTGTATACAGCTATTTCAAAAAACCTTGTCGGGGAGAACGGCAAACGGCGATTGTCGAAGGGAGATTGCACGACCGAAWGGGACTATGGTTACACTGTTTTGATAAACAAAATTTCACTTATTGGATTCACCTTACATAGAAATGGAGTCTAAATGGAGCCAATGTTTACCACAGACCATCTTACAGTATAAATCAGTTGTTATTGCCTTTCAACTAGCGAAACCCATGGCTACTTTCGGTCGTGCAATCGCCGTTCGACAATTGACATTAGCCATTTTATCCGACAACCTTTTTTGAAATAGCTACATGTATATGCCTTCTCGTTGGTGACGACATACCGTTCTTCTTCAGAACGATTGGCCGGTTCATTCGTCTCTGTAATAAACCATTCAATAGAAGGACATACAATACAGAAGCTGGTCACATCAAGCAACATCGCCTGCGTTATGTTATGCCAGCGGAATACCAAGTGCAAATCAGCGACGTACATGACTCTTTACCAGTCTTCGGGACATTGTATTTTACATGACACGACTGGAACGCCTGACTCTTTGGAACAGAGAAATGATGCGATGTTTTATCGATTAGTATAGTTGCAAATCAATACCTAATCGATGTTTTGTTAGTCAGAGAGTGAAATAGCCCACTTTCGTATTCTTGTTGAATGTTCGGGCTAAAAAGGAAAAAAGATAAAAAACAAAACAAAACAAGGCTTACAAAGATTATCTCTTGTTGTCCCGGAAACTCGTATACTATTTTTTTTTCTTGCTTTTTCAACTAAAATAAAATCAAACACTGGCAAAAACACAACAAATAAACAAACAAACAAACAACAACAACAAAAATGGTAGAATATCGAAAGTGGGTCATTCGGTGTCAACAAATGGTCAGTTCTTTACAATAGTGACTAAGGTAATTATCATCGTTGAAAACTCTGTCCCTTAGAAAAGTAATTTGCTGTTTGTCTAGCTGCTGTAGGGTAGGTTTTGATGTCTATTACGGAACGTTTATTAAAAGACTTTCTAAATTACCAATTTCTGAAGAGTCTTTCTGAAGAGTTACATCAGGCAGGTTGTGCAGATATGGTAGACCCGATACGGGTGTTTCGACATTCTTACGTATACGTTGACGAGTTAAACGTATACGTAACATATACGTCTCTCTATCATTACTCATTAATGCAGTTTGAGCTTAGTCCCGATACATGTATGTTGACATTACTTTCGTTAATTTGACGAGTCAAAGGTACACGCAATCTCTATATTCGTAAGCGTTGTACTTTTACGTATAGGTCCTAATTTTGTAAACGAATCCGCGTAAACGGTGATCATATTTACGAATCTCTTTCGTCTGAACGGCAATATCAAAMTTTATTGCTCACAAAAGACCAAGTTATCATTATTATTAAGTCAAGATTAGATTGGATTTTTAGATTAAAGAAAAATATAGAAATAATTACGTCGAAGATCAGTACATTTGGAGTAGATTTGGAGTACAATTGACGTTTAAATTTAGCAGGTAAACTTTAAATAATAAATTGTATAAAAAAACTGCTTTACGCAAAGGTGTTTTTTAGGTTTCTAGTTTAATTTAGTACAGCAATAGAGAAAAAGATAAAAGACCGGCGGTCATGTTGGTTGAAGAACAATAAATTCTAATGTGAAATCTTTTGTTGAAGTTCATCCAAGATGGCCGCTCTGACGTACGTTAGAAACGAAGAATGACCGGCAAGTAATCTATGTCAACACGACGTCTTTAGATCAAGTTTGTATTGATTCAGCTACTCTTTAAAGTGCCAATACTGAACGTTATATGACTATATGATTGTCAATGTACAAATAGTAATAAAAAATATGTAAAAGCTGCTCAAATGTGTGATAAATGCTAAGATTAATGTTTMACTTGCCATATTGACTTGAGTGTGAAGTGGACATGCATTTTGAAAGGTTTTTGCTGCAGTTTTTTTGTTTATTTTCTTATATTCTTGTTGTTTTCTCTCAAGTACGAGAGATTATTCCCATTCCGACGCCCCCATTAATTCCAGGTATGATAAATCAAAAATGTTTTATTTAAAAAAGTTATGTAAAAAGGAGATTATGATAGCCGCGCTTTGAGGAAGATGTCGCGCACTGTGTTCTTATCTCAGCTCAAATATTACGAAAATACGAAATATTACATCTGTTCTTGTGTAAAAGCCACCTTTGTAAGCTCTTGAAAATTGTACTGCGGCTCAGTATTGAAATTATTGTTTTGATGGTCTCCTAACATAGGATCCGACCACGTTAGTCACTWAAACATACGGTTACGATTGCAAATGAAGGCCTGAAGTTTTTCTTCGTTCCGTTCTGTACGTAAAGTATGATAYGCTCATACATATACTCTACGCTCTATAAAGTAAAGGTTTTGCATCCTTACGTAAACGATATGAAAACGTTCAATGTTTACGCAAGCAATGTTTACGTTTTGTGAAGTTAATGCCTTCAATGGATTATTCTCAAAAAATATCCGCATCAAGAATATGTTAAGATAGTGAAGTCTATCGATCGATGAATTAAAACAATACTATGCGTTTTTCTTACCAGTATGCGGTGGAACCATCAAAACTGGTAGCTCCATGATAAATGGCTCGTTCAACACTCCAAATTGGCCGCTAACATACCCGAAAAACATCTCATGCATATGGGAAATACACTCCCCGCTCAAAACATACATCAAAGTGAAATTTTCACACGTTGACATTTTCTTCACGAATTTGTGCGTGGACCGCCTAGAAGTGCAGCTTCCACATATTTCGTGGCAATATTGTACCTCTGAAAAACCTTTCACAGTATTCAGTACTTCAAACTTCATCAAGGCGTCCTTTAATGCTGGAATTGGCAACAYCATAAATACAGGATTCCAAGCAAACTTCACTATTTTGAAAAGTAAGTCGCCTCGTTAGCGCAGTAGGCAGCGCGTCAGTCTCATAATCTGAAGGTCGTGAGTTCGATCCTCACACGGGGCAATACTCTTTTCCTTTTTCTTACTTTTTCCTTTTTCTTAACTCCCGATATTTTTCATATGAACATTTTACTTTTACATTTTGCAGTCTCGTAACTGCAAAGCATGTACTACTTGATCGTTTTCAACCATTCCCATGAGATTCAAAAGATAAAAGACCGGCGGCCATGTTGGAGGAAATGACAATAGATACTAATGAAAAATCTTTTGTTAAAGTTCCTCCAAGATGGCCGCTCGAATCTGTGACGTAACCTGAAAACGAAGAATAGGCATAAAGTCTAAATGACAATAAATGTAAAATGAGTTCATAGCGTAAAAGGGCTTATAAAGAACTATAAAGGACGAAGGTTTGAGAGGTCATTACATGCAACAGTTAATGAGATATTAGCGTTCAAAGATGCTAAGTGGCAAAAGCGCTAATTAGCTCATAAAAATTTGAGTTTTTAAAACTGTTTGACGCAAAAAATATTCCAAAAAGGGAAACTCAAAATTGCGAAGAAAGCTTATTGTGCTATGTTGTTTCAATATTCAGTGCTGATTTACTGATAGTTATGTCAAAATGGTATATATGCTTACTGGAAAAAATCGCGCGCTTTAAAGGTTGTAAATTTGATGTAAGTGTCCAAAATTCTGTAAATTTAATGGAAATCATTTACATCAAATTTACAGAATTTTAGACACTTGTATCATATTAACATCAAATTTACAACCTTTAAAGCGCGCGATTATTTCCAGTGGCTTATGCCAATGATATGCTAATGAACGGAAATGTAAACAGATTAACAAAGGGTTGAAAAACTGTGTGTTACTTGTCTGATTTAATGTTTAGGTGAATGCCCAAACGGCACACTCACCGGTACATCAGGAACTCTAACCAGTCCAAACTACCCAGAAAACTACCCTTGTGGATTGGTCTGCGATTATGTTATCACTGTACCAAAGGGCTACGTAGTTTCAATCTTATTCTCTGTTTTCAATGTCTCAAATTCATGCGAAGATTACGTGACTATTCATGATGGTGGAAATGCTTCAGCTCGAAAGATATCTAAACTCTGCAGATCGTCGTCAGTGCATCAATCAACTGGCAACGTGATGACTGTGAGATTCTTCTCTGCAAATGACAGCGATGGCTCGAAGGTATTTATTCCAATTATTCCACTCATTTAGTCGTGCCAACAATCGCTTAATGCTCATGTTGCAACTTCGGTCGTGCTTGCTCATCACTTTAATTCCTAACATAAATACATATCATCTAAGTTTTTCTTTGACGTTCTGTTTGCAAAACCATATATACTAGACTGACATTGCTTTGGAGATTGCAGAAGTATTTCCGTGTTTAAAATTATGGAAATAAACTTTGTCTAGAACACAACACATAGGCTACCAATCTTTAACTTTTCTAGGGGTTTAAAGCAACTTACAGAGCGCTAGCATTCGACAAATCCATCGGACCTTCACCACATTTCCAAACAACGAGAGTCACATTTATAACGCATACAATGGGCTTGCAGTCTCTTTCCACGCCGTTGTTGAATGTCTCGGCAAGCAGAGTAAAACCAATCACATCTTATATAAACCCATCATCAACTGTCGCTCTAATTGTACCAACAACAGTACAGAAAGAGCCGTTCATGCCATTATGTAAGTATRCGATCATAGGCTATTCCCCAGGCTTCTCTCTATCAGCACTGAAGAGCGTACCATGGAAACGAGGAGACTCCTCTCCAATTTTATTTTTACCTTGATTTCAATTTTTTATCCAATCGATTCCATCAGATCTTGGTGGAACGTTTCAAGTCAGGCGAGATGTTACTCTCGTAGGTCATGTCATAAAGAGAACAACAACTCCAAGTGCTCCAGTGTGTATTTTAAAATGTCAACAAATCGTCACCTGTGAATCGGCTACATTTGTTCTTATGGGTGGAGTGGGTGGGGGATATTGCACACTCCATGCAACGAGCCTGCAGCTTCAACCTGAATACGGTCAACGGCTTGATGGTGCCTTGTATTATGAAAGTATCATAGNATCTGTTCTTGTGTAAAAGCCACCTTTGTAAGCTCTTGAAAATTGTACTGCGGCTCAGTATTGAAATTATTGTTTTGATGGTCTCCTAACATAGGATCCGACCACGTTAGTCACTAAAACATACGGTTACGATTGCAAATGAAGGCCTGAAGTTTTTCTTCGTTCCGTTCTGTACGTAAAGTATGATACGCTCATACATATACTCTACGCTCTATAAAGTAAAGGTTTTGCATCCTTACGTAAACGATATGAAAACGTTCAATGTTTACGCAAGCAATGTTTACGTTTTGTGAAGTTAATGCCTTCAATGGATTATTCTCAAAAAATATCCGCATCAAGAATATGTTAAGATAGTGAAGTCTATCGATCGATGAATTAAAACAATACTATGCGTTTTTCTTACCAGTATGCGGTGGAACCATCAAAACTGGTAGCTCCATGATAAATGGCTCGTTCAACACTCCAAATTGGCCGCTAACATACCCGAAAAACATCTCATGCATATGGGAAATACACTCCCCGCTCAAAACATACATCAAAGTGAAATTTTCACACGTTGACATTTTCTTCACGAATTTGTGCGTGGACCGCCTAGAAGTGCAGCTTCCACATATTTCGTGGCAATATTGTACCTCTGAAAAACCTTTCACAGTATTCAGTACTTCAAACTTCATCAAGGCGTCCTTTAATGCTGGAATTGGCAACATCATAAATACAGGATTCCAAGCAAACTTCACTATTTTGAAAAGTAAGTCGCCTCGTTAGCGCAGTAGGCAGCGCGTCAGTCTCATAATCTGAAGGTCGTGAGTTCGATCCTCACACGGGGCAATATTTTGTCCTTTTCCTTGCTTTTTCCTTTTTCTTAACTCCCGATGTTTTTCATATGAACATTTTACTTTTACATTTTGCAGTCTCGTAACTGCAAAGCACGTACTACTTGATCGTTTTCAACCATTCCCATGAGATTCAAAAGATAAAAGACCGGCGGCCATGTTAGAGGAAATGACAATAGATACTAATGAAAAATCCTTTGTTAAAGTTCCTCAAAGATGACCGCTGTGACGTAGCCTGGAAACGAAAGAAAAGGCAGATCTTTGTTTACAAAATTTTGCTAATTAACATAAAGTATAAATGACAATAAATGTAAAATGAGTTCATAGCGTAAAAGGGCTTATAAAGAACTATAAAGGACGAAAGTTTGAAGTCTTTACATGCAATAGTTTATGAGATATTAGCGTTCAAAAATGCTGAATGTCAAAAGCACTATAATCAGCTCATATCCTATAATCTCTCTAAAAATTGGAGTTTTAAAACCGTTTAACGCAAAAAGTATTCCATATAGAAAGTTCAAAATTGCGAGGAAATTTTATTGTGCCATATTGTTTCAATATTCAGTTCTGATTAACTGATAGTTAGGCTGAAACGTTATATGCTTAAGGTGTTTCGATCGTAATAAATAGCGTTTCGCGCGTATGTTTAAACTCCAACTACGAATCGATTGCACTCAAATTTTCACAGATGTATAAGTGATTACCGATAATTCCTATTGATCAATTAATTTTCCAAAAAAAATGGAAGCTATTTGGATAATCGATGCAAAATAAAAACACCTTCATTTTTCTTTAAAGTTAATTTTCTCGAAACTCATCGCAGAGAAACACCTTAAGCTAATGAACCGAAATGTAAACAAATTATTCGCCTTTACAAAGGGTTGAACAACTGTGTGTTACTTGTCTGATTTAATGTTTAGGTGAATGCCCCAACGGCACACTCACTGGTAGTTCAGGAACTCTAACCAGTCCAAACTACCCAGAAAACTACCCTTGTGGATTGGTCTGCGATTATGTTATCACTGTACCAAAGGGCTACGTAGTTTCAATCTTATTCTCTGTTTTCAATGTCTCGAATTCATGCGAAGATTACGTGACTATTCATGATGGTGGAAATGCTTCAGCTCGAAAGATATCTAAACTCTGCAGATCGTCATCAGTGCATCAATCAACTGGCAACGTGATGACTGTGAGATTCTTCTCTGCAAATGACAGCGATGGCTCGAAGGTATTTATTCCAATTATKCCACTCATTTAGTCGTGCCAACAATCGCTTAATGCTCATGTTGCAACTTCGGTCGTGCTTGCTCATCACTTTAATTCCTAACATAAATACATATCATTTAAGTTTTCTTTGACGTTCTATTTGCAAAACCATATACACCAGACTGACATTGTGTTAGAGTCTGCAGAAGTATTTCCGTGTTTAAAATTATGGAAATAAACTTTGTCTAGAACACAACACATAGGCTACCAATCTTTAACTTTTCTAGGGGTTTAAAGCAACTTACAGAGCGCTAGCATTCGACAAATCCATCGGACCTTCACCACATTTCCAAACAACGAGAGTCACATTTATAACACATACAATGGCCTTGCAGTCTCTTTCCACGCCGTTGTTGAATGTCTCCGCAAACAGAGTAATACCAATCTCATCTTATATCAACCCATCATCAACTGTCGCTCTAATTGTACCAACAACAGTACAGAAAAAGCCGTTCATGCCATTATGTAAGTATACGATCATAGGCTATTCCCCAGGCTTCTATCAGCGCTGAAGAGCGGATATCCTGGAAACGAGGAGACCCCTCTCCAATTTTATTTTTCCCTTGATTTTAATCATTTCATCCAATCAGATCTTGGTGGAACGTTTCAAGTCAGGCGAGATGTTACTCTCGTAGGTCATGTCATAAAGAGAACAACAACTCCAAGTGCTCCAGTGTGTATTTTRAAATGTCAACAAATCGTCACCTGTGAATCGGCTACATTTGTTCTTATGGGTGGAGTGGGTGGGGGATATTGCACACTCCATGCAACGAGCCTGCAGCTTCAACCTGAATACGSTCAACGGCTTGATGGTGCCTTGTATTATGAAAGTATCATAGAGCAAAAATACTAAAGGTTATGATTTCCATTGACATTTTGACATCATTTTGTCATCTTCCGGTTTTGCCATGATTGGCCATCATCTTGCTGGCACCATATTGCTACCATCTTCGGTCCTCATCTTGCTATCACCTCATGCAATCTTCTTGCTATCATCTTGCTACCATCTTGCCACATGTCATTCTTGCCATCATCTTGCTGTTACCTTCCAATCTTCTTGCAATCCATTTTGCTACCATCTTGCCACATTTCATTCTTGCCATCATCTTGCTGTTACCTTCCAATCTTCTTGCAATCATTTTGCTGTCATTTTGTCACCATATTGCTGTTATTTTGCAATCTTCTTGCAATCATCTTACCACCATCTTACCACCATCTTTCTGTCATTGGTCACAATCTTGGCATAATCTTACTACCAGCTTGCCATCATCTTACCACCATCTTGCAATAATCTTGCTGTCATCTTGTCACCAAATTGCTGTTATTCTGCAATCTTTTTGTAATCATCTTGCAGTCAGTATTGCTATCAACTTACTGCCATGTTGCTATCATATGTCTTCTTGTCATCTTGACACCATCTTGGAATCATCTTGCCATCATCTTGCTCTCATCTTGCCACCATCTTGCTCTCTTCTTGCAATAATTTTGCCACCATCTTATAATCAATTACCATCTTATAATCAACTACCATCTTGCGACCATCCTGCAATCACCTTCATATTATTTTGGCCCATATCTMAGTCATTTTAATGTTATCTCAGTCGTTATCATGATACTTGTACGAATACCAAAATAAACAATKCTCTTCCTGATTTTTTCAGTTGGTTGTAACTAAATCAATGTCATTGATTATCATTATCAATTTATTATTTATTAATATCTATAATCAATACGAGATTTTAAAAAAAAATGGCCTTTCATAGCTAGCAGCGGGCGCTATCAATGAACGTCAGTCGTTGCCTAAGCAACGTTCACTATAGCAACATGATGGACGTCAAGGTTGCTATAGTATTTCCATGACAACAGTATGGTTAAGTAASGATAAGCAGACACTATTCTCGTGCATTATTCAAAGACTGAACAACAGCTAAGGGAACACCACAAATATTCAAGTTAAAGGTAAAATATCGGGATTGTTTTATCATCATTCAAATGTTGAACAATTTTTTTCTGTTTATTAATCATAAATATTATTCATCTCTCAGGGGTTATTATTGGTCCCCTTAGGAATGCCMTAAACGTGAGCCTTCGGCCGCGTCGTGTTCCTTCAACGGCGCTAATTCAGTTCAAATTTTACGAAAATTGGTTATTTATGTAAATATTCTAATTCCCAATGAAGGGTAGTTTGTGTCCTGGTGAAATATCGCAAAAATCTACTTTTTTGTGGTGCATTTTTYMACATGCGMTRWTTTTTTCCCTTGATTACTRWACGTTTCGTTCTATCAGAGCGAACTTATTATYTAGGTCGCCTCTATTTGTTTGAATTTTCAAAATACTTTTGATTAAAAAAAAGGGAGTTAAATTTTGATCATAAATTCCTTTTTCACTGACTTTAAAAACATTTTTCTACATCGGTCGGATCATTTGCCACTGTTTAATAAAACTATTCATAAAGTGAATAGTCATTAGTGAAAMAATAGTTGCCATGGTGTCATATTGATGTCACATGACGATGAAGTGACCTCATACCACGTTTGAAAAATATGGTCCCTTCCCAATCATGAAAAATCCTAATTATTCAAATATTTCGAAATTATGCACATCATCGTTATTATTGTTATCATTATATAATTAAATTTTAGAAATACAGTTCTGTTCGAATGCTATCGGATTTGTCAGTTAAAATAATAAGTGCGCTCCACTCACGATTTTTCTTCTTACGTCATGTTCTTCAGCATTCMAGCGTTATTCAATAACAAACGAATCATATATCATCCATACAACACTACGTAAATTAAGATTTCTTCGTCGGTTATTTCATGTTTGTAGTGGGGGCAAGGCCAAAACAATTAGCCAAAACATCATCCCACTTTAGGGGCTAGACTGAACTTCACCCACCACCTCAAAGACCTTGGGGGGAAGAGGAGGGAGGGAAGCTTTATCCAATTTAGCGCTAGCTCATACAAAGCATATATTTATTATCTCTCAACAGCGTTGAGTATTCTCTCCTATCTAGCTTTTGTTTACTCCAYTTCGTCGACACTTCACAAGTCCTTTGGTGACCATACAAAAGTGCTGAGGTTCCACAAGTACCAAAACTACTACTACTGCTACTAGCTGTAGCTTTCATGGTGTCAATTGTAGCTGGTTTACGGTTATAATCATCATTGAACATAGTGTACCTGATTGCTATACTTTACCATCACTAACAATAGTCTTCAGTCAATGATCTACGTCTGCCTTTGCTAGCATATTTTACCATCACGGACCATAGTCTGCCATCATAGATTAAATTTGCTATACGATTAGCTATCTTCCAGACCTCCAGTTCTTACAGACCAAACTCTGTACTACACCACAAACCGCTATATATCAAACCGACTAGYTTGGTATAATGTTTGGGGTAGAGGAATTCGGTCGACTATTCATAATGTTGGTTGGAATTCTTGGAAATGGGTCGATTGTTCGTTTGGTCACAAAGGATGCTTTAATGCARACTTTGAGTAATAAGCTCCTTCTGGTGATAGCTATATCCGATCTGGGAACATGTGTGGTGACAATGTCATTCTCTTTCATATCCATGATTGCTAACAGATGGCTGTTCGGGCAGACCCTTTGCGACATCATTGCATTTTTCTGTGACTTTTTCTTCCGYGTGTCATCCTTAACAATTCCCCTTGTTGTTTATCAAAAGCATTTGAGCATTACTTCCACGAATGCGATGAGACACAGCAATCAAAGTATAAAGAAATACATTATCTTCTTTTGCCTTCTAGCGTCCGCGTTCTCTCTTCCTTATCATCCAAAGGAGGTGCATTAYGACCCCGACATCTTCGCATGCAAGTTGTATTTTCCACGCAGATCATCCGGCAACATTGCACTCATSTTCTTCGCAGCAATGGAATCGCTGTTYATTCGTGTCATTCCAAACATTGTAATGTTTGTATCTTTTGTGAAAATCATCMAAGTSATTCGGCTACGCAGACGAGCTTTGAAATCTAGAAAATTAGAACCAAAGCCKGTGTTGTACAAATTGGAGCATCTTCGCATATTGTCTGACGGATACACGGCATTGACGACACTGATAATGGCGTTGGCATTCATTGCTCTTAGCATCCCMARCAACAYTTTAAGTATGGCGTTCTTATTCCAGAACGTGTTGAAATTCGAATCCAAGCACATCACATTCAAGGTTGCAGCATTCTGGTGCATGCTAATTAACCCAGTGTTACGACCGCTGATCTATGGTCTCAGGCACGCGAGATGCTGGAGGTACGTAAGTCGCTGTTATCAAAGAATGAGGAGGTATTTTATGATGCATGGTTTATGTCTAAAAACAGCTTCACGGTCTTCAGCGTATGTAATTCCTMAAGTTAATACTTTGGAATTAAAACCAGGCGCGTTTGGGTCGATAAACAACGTCGAGGAAAACCGAGTTATTCGAGAGACCATAGTTACTAACTATGGAGAGACAATAAAATCTAAAGTCAGCCGAAGACTAAGCGTCGTCGACATTGCGCCGTCGAATTCTGTTGCCTCTATCAGTGTGCAAAGATCTATACAGTCTGTGATCATTTTGGAAAGAGAAAAATTCGCCATTGAATTTAAAAATGCTAGTAACTGTCATCAAAGTGAAACTGGACGTGAAAATGTATTAGAGATCGCTGTGAACAATGTCAATAAAGATGTTGGCACCCAACATCAAAGTGAAGTATCTAAAAGTGAAGATGARATGGTAGTAGAAGATATTGAAGTTTATGCGCCATGAACCACGTGGCTCAGTGTGCACTTTTATCCATAGTTCGTTAGAACGATAAGGACCTTGCTTGATATCTCTTAATTTCAGTGCACTTCCGAGAAAAAAAATTACATAGATGATTTTCATGTTTCGCAGTATTGTAGCATATTGTAGTTGTGTGTATATTATATGTAGCATAGCTTTATTGCAGAGAAAATAAGCTCAAGTTCTCGTTTTCTGCACCTCTTTTTGCGCTGGAAGACATCGTTGCGGTGAGCGTTGCATGGCATAATAGACCCCTTGCATGTGAYCTCAAAGCATCTTCATCTGGGCCGGGTTGTTCTAAGCCCGACTAGCGTTAAGCGCCGTTTACACGAGCAATTTTTCCTTGACAAGTTTTCCTTGACAGGGAAAAATTGCTCGTGTAAATGGGGTAAAATTGACGATTTTTCCTTGTCAAGTAAAAGCCAACATGTTCGCTTTTCCTTGACAAGGAAAAATTGTCAAGGACGAAATTTGCTCGTGTAAATGGACAAGAAGGAAAATGTGGCAAGGAAAAATTGTCAAGGAAAATTTGTTGACCATTCACACGGGCAATTTTTCCTCGTCAAGGAAAACTTGTTCTTCGTTTACACGAGCAAAGAAACATTGTCAAGGAGGAATTGTCAAGACCATTGACCATTGACCATTTACACGGACAAGTTTTCCTGGAAAAATTGCTCGTGTTAAACGGCGCTTTAATCCAGGGTTAACTCCATAGGTTTTCTAAGAGTTTGAACAAGTTTAGAAGTTTAGTTGTACTAAAAATAGCGTTACAAGAGAAGCCGCAATGCTCCAGCTCCAATGTTGCCCAGAATTATATTCTCAACAGATAATGATGCGATTGTATTTGATTCGGTTCTCGCCAGGATGCGAGGGATTTTTCACAAATTAAAACTCGACCTCCATAATTCCAATCACCAGGATGAAGCCTGCAGGTTCTTCTCCAAACGATAGGAAAAGAGAATTGACTTGGGGGACCAAAGTAAGGCTTCCTCACATCCGAACACATTCAATTATGTTCCAGATTATTGTACTGTTGTATTATTTGACTAAACTGGCCATCGAAACATAAACTAATGAACTTCTTTGTTGCGAGCTCAAAAAAGACAAAATACCAACGGAGGGAAAAGTCATTTTTATCCAAAACAAATGATATTAATGCCATTACCGTTTATTGATCTTTCAGAAAGCGTATTCTTTTAACTATTTTTTTTTTTCTTTTAACTGTTTTTTATAATTTTGCTTTTTAGCAAGATATATCGGTACAATTGTAGCATAGTGGCTTGTCCTAAGTCGAGGCAGTATAGCAAAAAAAAAAAAGAAAAAAAAGAAAAAAAAAAAAAGAAAAAAAAGGAGATCACAGGGCAGGGTATGATATCAGAACACATAAAAGAAAAAGCTTTAAATTCAGTCATTTAAAGCCTGATTTACACGGTACGATTTGTCGCGCGCGACTTGTAGYGTACGATTTTCATACTACAAGTCGTACGATTTTAAGCAGTGGTCCAAAATCCTACTACAAGTCGTAGGTTGCGTACAACTGTTGTAGACAAGTCGTAGGGGCATTTACACTGCGCAAGTCGTATACTACAAATCGCACGAGACAATCGTGCCGTGTAAATCAGCCTTAAGAATTAATGTAATACTTAATTTGCTTCTTTATCGTTAAATGAATTTGCATTTTACATAAATGTGAATTACAAAAATCTTGCTATAATCAATTTTAGCAGTTTTTTTTGCAAGTAACTAGAAAATTATGAGATGTCAAATTCATATATTCATGTTAAAATCTTTCCTTACAAAAAAGTTATGCCCGCTGTTCAAATCAACGCAATTGATGAACAACTCTCTCCGTCGCATCTAAGTGCAACAAAATGATTAAGTAATTTGTTTTGAACGTAAAAAGTGCCGCTTTGAAGCTAATACATACGTGGCAACAGTGCATTTAAATGTGTGTTGCTATCTTGTAAATGATTTTTTAAAGTGTAAATATATTTTAAAAACTTCAAAAAAGACGGTTTTTGTGATTATTGACTCAATCTTCAATTCAATATCAATATAGAACATTTCGGAGATGAAAGACGCCATCAATTCGTGAATCGCAATTTTTAATTTTTAATTCTGACCAAACACATCAGTCAGAAGTTCAGTCTCTCAAATTATTATTATAGAATGATTGTGTATTTTTTGTTCGATCATTGATGTTTTTACAATAAAACACCCAAATAAGCCGAACTTTTAGAAGTCCATATACTAATTGATTAACACTATAAGAAGGGGTTTTTGCGAGAAACGGCTTCTAACCTCATTTAAGGCAAAAGCTCAAAACACCGGACTTGCGCCGATTCAATGCAAATTACTCCGACTCTTTGTTTGTGTGCTCACGCCATTTCAGTTGTATTGAAGTCGGCACATGTGAAATTCAGCGGCGTTTGAATCAAGCAATAGGTATCTGTGCGCGGGATCAGTTAAACCTATAGAACGTGAAGCGAGCTCTACGTCAACCGCAAATGATACAATAACTTCACACAGGGTCCGCGTTTAAGCTGAATGTATTACTTATAATTACGAGCATATATTCGATGCATGTCAGTGCCTCAAAACATAGACATCTGACTCTAATATAGTGAACTGGCCGTGAGCTTTGCGGAACTATTAGTCAGTCGTACAGGTAAATATTTTGAAATCGTATAGAGTATTCACGTAGCTGTTGTCTTTAGATGTTATTCTGTGCTTCTTAAAAGTTCTGTTTAAGTGTTATATTTGTAAACCTGTGCAATGTTTGTGTACTGTTATATTGGACTCAKATGAATTTTATTTTGAATACGAGTAAAATACGATTGTAATTTGTTAAATATTTGGTTTATTTTCGTTGTTTTCATGATGAATAAAAAGCTAACAAGAAGAGTTTGAAGAGGAAACGTAATGATAATTATCATATAAGAGTTTTTTAACGTTTTTGTTTATCAATTCGCTTGTTCTTTGTTTGTGTTGCCTTTTTTCATGTTTTCTTTCGTTTCTGATTGCTTTTGTTTTAAACCGTACCTTTTTGACTAAGATAACAATAATAATAATAATCATAATCAGAGCAAAAAAGGTCTTGGCAAAAGTGCTAATTTTCATGTAATTTTACGTTTTTTTAAAGATTTAAATGTTTTTCAATTACCGTTTTTTTTGTTTGCTTGTCAGTTTTGGAGTGTTGTATGTTTTTACTTACTTAAAGAAATCATTTCTATTATTTCAGCTTTTCAACTTTACTTTTTTTCATCATTTTTTATTTATTTTTGTCATAGTTATGTTTTTGTCAAAGGGGTCCCCCAGTGTTAATCAATAAGACAAAAAGTGTAAATGAGAAAAAAAACATCCATGAAAAAATATCACTCAGTTATAATTGCCTTTTCCACACAGTCATTGATTGTTTTTTGCCTTTCTTAATTCGATCTAGTCGTAGGAGTTCAAGGAGTTCAGACTACCCAAAACCCTTAACAAGCGCTGCCCTCGCAGTCTCATTTCATGGAGTCAACACGGAACAAAATGTCTCAAATTCTTAATATATTATATATGGGTTTTTAGAATCAAAACACAATCCATTGATCACAAAGTTGATAAGTTCATAATGAGTGTGCTTTCCTGTCTCTTAATTTGTTCTTTTGCATTAAATCTAAAAGAGTTTACAATGGAACATGATTTATGCTTGACAAACGTCGCCCACAAAGAAGGAACCGCCTTGGAATGAGGCGCCTCAAGGGTTGAATATATGTTCTTAAGCAATTAAATATGGCGTACACAATAAAGTTCAAACAATTATTGAATATTTTTATAAATAATGAAAAAAACACTAATGCAGCTGACTGAATTTGAGTCTATGTGTTTTTAAAATATATGATTTGACTTCAGATTTTGAATTTGATAACATCCTACTGAAAATTTACTACCAATTATAAACGTATCAAAGATTGCTAGATATGGAAAGGCGCCCAGCATGGGACAGCTATGACGGCGCCCGGAATTGGATCCGACGGAATCGAAATCGAATCCGGCTCAAAATAGGCTAATGCCTTAACTCAGTGAATTGAAATCTTTCCGTTTTCTTAAGAGAATTTTACAACAAGAGTACAAATCTATGCATAAATCTATTCCATATATACCTATCTAAAAACAAGGTTGTCGGATGAAATGGCAGCAAAATTGCACTGAATTGTCGAATTGTCGAATTGTCGAATCGGATATTACACGAGCAAAAGGAGGGTTTTGGTAAGTGATGAGAAATCAATAACTAAATATTGAAATTCTGGTTTGCTCTGACTCAAAACCAAGCACCACAATCTTTTTTTTCTGATAGCCCAAAAAAATTTGTGAAAAAAGACATTAAAATTGATTGGAATTTTCACCTTTTTTTGCTCAGAATATTAAGGAATATTCTAACACAGAGAATTGGAGAATTTGAAACTGGAGTATCATTTCTCGGTTGAGATTCAAAAGACCGGCGGCCATGTTGGTTGAAAGAGCAATAGAAACTCGGAGAAGTCCTCTGTTGAAATTCAACCAAGATGGCCGCTGTTACGTATATTGCAAACGAAGAATACTGTAAGATAGTTTGTGGTAAATATTAGTGTCCATTTTCAGGGAAAGTGAACGAACAATTGAGATTTTGTACGTCAAAACATCGTAACCATAGTCCCTTTCGGTCGGGCAATCTCTCTTGGACAGCCGCTGCCTGCCGTTCAACCCCCAACAACGTCTTTTGAAATAAGCAAATTCCCATATCAATTGACAATACGTAGAGTTTTGACGGACTTAGATATGGCAACCGGCACTAGAAGTTGAAGAACGTTAATGTAAAAAAGCCTGTAGCTTAGACGACTATTGTTGAACAAATTGCTAGTCAAAGCAAGATGGCTTAACCTAATATTTTAAAAGCAAACTAGACGTTAACTCCTGACTCGTGATACTTAAATAAAAATAGTACATTATAATAAAAATGAATTAATATAATATATACCAAAACAATATATTAACAGATTGACAAAAAAATTGCTAGTCAAAGCAAGATGGCTTAACCTAATATTTTAAAAGGGAACTAGACGTCGACTCCTGACTCGTGATACTTTAGATTTTTTTTTTAAATTAAAAAAAAACAAAACATTACAATAAAAATGCATTAATATAATATATACTACCCCCAAAAAAATGTATTAGCAGATTGACAAACGAAGTGCTAGTGAAAAGCAAGCTTAACCTAATATTTTACAAGCAAACTAGACGGACTATAGACGCTATAAACTCCTGACTCGTGATACTTTAAAAAAAATACATTATAATACAAAATGCATCAATATAATACATACTGCAAAAAATTGTATTAACAGATTGACAAAACGATGCGTGTGACCAACTTCGCTGTCACCATAGCAGGAATTTTCAGACTCGGTTATCTCTGCAAGGCGGGTAGTACGTGTTGTTGTAAATTATCTAAAGTTATAATGTAGTATTACTACGTGTTCGATAAACTCCAAGGAACCTACACCAGGTTATTGAAAAATCGTGATTAACTGCACATATATGGAATGCGTCTTCACAGTTTTTCTGTAAAGTGAAGCGTGCATCTTCACAAACGTTCCATCTTAAAGCAAACGACTACCTCAAAAACACTGGGTTTGTACTGGGTTTTCGTCGATAAAGATAAGGTAGATTTTTATTGATCTAAAAACCTGTAGTCAATTATTTCAATCGATTAATTGATAGATATACAAATTTGGCGTTTTATCAAAATATTTAATTGTCCTGGCTATCTATTTATTTATTTTTTTGAATTTTAATAATTATAATTTTGCATGTATCTATTCATTTATTCAGTTAATTATGTATTCATTTCTTTTCTTTACTCTTTAACAATAATCAATATTAAAAATAATAATTTTCTCTTTTTTTTTCAATTTTTACTCGTTTAATCTATTCATCTTATTTAACTTTGATATTTTTTCCTCTATCCTTTTCTTTTTGTTTTATTTATTTACTTATGTCTTGCATTACGTATGCCAAAAATTAGTCCCTTGCGGTGAAAAGTCACTAAAAGCACACAGACAGGGCTTAAAAAGAAATATTATACACCCAACACACACCATGTTAGTATCCCTTTAATGGCTTACGTTCGCTACACGATTGGATGCTCTCTTTTAATTAAACTTCGTTTAGTAAATATTATACTTACTGAGATTTATCATTGACTTGTAAAGCCACGCCGACAAACTCTTTACCACTAACAGCAAATACGATACCTTTTTGTAAAGATGGCCGACTTTTTGTTGTTTACACTGTATTCTTAATTTCTGCTGACCTCTACAGGTACATCCGGCAAGATTTTCTTAACAAGTGCTGCTCATTGAATTTGGTTTCGTTGCAGAACAAAAACAGTATCTTTATGAGTTGTGGTCGAGAGTTCTTAAAAAAGGATAGAACATTTCATGGTTATTTCAAACATAGTATGTCGTCCGTCTCGTCAGCGACGAAAAGACAAGCCGGCGAAGCGAGCCGAGGTTATCATGATGTTTGACTTCAGCTTAACGCCTTGGAAAAGGTCTTAAAAGAATCGCGAAGTAAGAGTTATAAGCTCTAAACTTTTTATTAATTCAGTATAAGTCTGTTGAGCATAATTACTTATAAGTTAAGCCGTCATCTTATTCGTGCTTTGAGAAAGAAGACTTATTGTCAACAATCCGCTTTCAGTCAACTTCTTTCTATAAACTAAGTCAATTCAACACCTTTTTTTCTCTGTGTAACTCTGTTTACAAACGTGTTTTCTTAAGAATTATACGTTAATTAACAAACTCTTATGTCGATTTTTTTTTTTTGCTTCGTTATGCTGTTGTTATTCTTGATTTTTTTCTTTTTTTTCTCAGTGTATACAAAATGTTGTTTCTTGGAAACGTTCTTTTCGGTTATTAACATTGGACATTTTATATTCTGTCGCTTACATACATATAAAAAAACTTCAAAAATGCCGGTATACTAGTCTGTCATTCACTGAAAATGTCATAAGATATATCAAAAATATATTATTTTAGTTCTGACGACGGAAAGGCACACTTCAAAAGTAGTAAATTTATTATAAACCATGTCATGTTACATTTAAACTCTATAAAAACAGCATTGAAGCTCAAATTGATCGGATTTTAGAAGATTTTTCATTGTTTTGTCTATATACAGTTAAAAATACACAAACCTTCTAGTCGTGAAGAAATTATAAATCATGCAAAACCAACATTAGTGATAACTGATAATAAAAATCAACAAAAGATTCTAATAATAATAGGGGAAAAAACATAAATAAGGAAAGGAAAAACAGTCGGGAGATCTAAACCATCTAATAGGAAGTGTGACCACACTGAGAGTTTTAGTGATTGGCTATTAACAAGCAATTTACAGCATAAAAACACAATATTTATTTTATCCCAAGACAAACGCTTGGGTTAATTAAAAAATCATCTGGCATAAAGTTGTTTTTAAGAATTCATACAAAGACGAGCCATTTTAAAAGCTTTTTCGTTTCAAATTGCTTAATAACGCCGCCCAAGAACTCGAAAGTGTCAGGTCCGTCACGTGTACATGGTCGCATCAACTTTGTAATACTGATTGTTCCCGATAATGATTATCGCAATATGCCAATACTGCAATCAAAAAGAATTAGGCACACACGCCCTAAAGGCTTTCAGTTATAATGTTTAAACCACTCAAAAAAAGTGAAGATTAATTCTAATAGGAAATATTTATGGGATGTTGTGTATGGAATGACTGAAATTAAGCCAACGAGTAGTGATCTTTCTCGAAGGCCCATTAGGGCAATTCGCCTGCGGCCCGTGCCCACTCTATTATGCCATATCTTTGACATCTCTATAAATTCCCCTCCAACGCTATCATATTGAATAATTCTTCACTTACTTCACTTTTAGATTAACCCAGAAGCGTAGACTTGCCCCGAGAGGTTTTGTTAAGGTACCACTGAGCCAAATCACGCCTGAGAAATTGCCTGACTTTATCCCAATTGAGTTTTATTTCCGGAATTTCTTCAATTTAAGTGGCCCTCACTAAAGCTGATAACCAAATTACGCCAGTGGAGTAGCCTTCATTCGGTATTCTGAAAAGATTAACACAACATGAATATGCAGTTGGTTTAAGAGATTTCTGAACGTCATTGGACGATCGCGGAAGCAGGATCTCATTAAACTTCAGAACTGCCCTTCTTAAAGGCAAGCTGCTCAGAGCAAAACTTAAACAGTACACAGCAAGTCTGAGACGGTCATGAACTTTACAGCAGCCAACGGTTCGTTTGCTACTCCTTTTCCTACATTCGTAAAAGATTGCGAATCCATCCATCCAACAGCGAAGAATTTGGCCTTCGCCATCGTTCTTACGGTAATCTGTGTCTTTACATTTGTCGGCAATGCGTGTGTTATACTCACAGTGGCGTGTCACCGTAGTTTACACAGTGTTAGCTATGTACTTCTCGTGTCTTTGGCTTTGGCTGACTTATTCGTCTCGATGTTCTCCATGCCATGGCGAATTCACGCGACGATACACAACACGTTATGGTGTCTGGACCTTCCCACCTGCGCTTTTTGGATCTGGACAGACTCGTTCGCTTGTTGCGCATCTATAACCAACTTATCCGCAGTTGGAATCGAGAGATTCGTGGCAATTAAGGCTCCTCTTCGCTACAACACGATAATGAACAAAAAAACAGGCTCTATCATGGTGGCTTTCGTGTGGAGCTACGCGCTGATATGGGCTTCTTTGGGGAATCTAAATTGGAGCAACCCCGACCAAGAGGTTTTTGATATAAAAATATCATGTGCAAAACGCGATACTATATATTACACAGTCGTAGCGGTGTTTGCGTTTTACGTACCACTGGCCGTCGTTATAGTATCGTACACGTATCTAACACGTGTAGCTATCATTCACGTAACTGCCTTGCAAGAATTCATGACTCCGCAACGACGACCGCGCGGTTGCTCCTTTCAAAGCGAGCGTACAATACGACTTATTAAGGAAATTAAAGCCACTAAAATGATGGTGATAGTCGTCGGCGTTTTCTTTATTTCCTGGTTTCCATTCTTCGTCATGGTGTTGAAGAATCTCTGGTCTCCAGCGCCAACCGATCCACTCCTAGCGGAATTAACATCGGTGGTTTTTGTCTTCATTTTGCCAAACTTGAACAGCGCTTTGAATCCCATCATTTACATGACATTTACAAGAGAACTCAGGTACGCCTTTTATGGGTTTTTCAAGAAAATCCGCCAACAAAAGCGAAACGAAAACTCTTCATTCACCTCATGAGCTCAGGAAGCCAAGGAAATGTAAAAGACAAACTTTTTATTACTCAAAGCACCTTATTTAAGACAATCATGTTAGGCAATGTCTAGTTTGATAATAATAATAGCGTTTTCTATTTAGATGAAACGACACTCTCACAATAGAAAAAAGGCGGTGAAGACTGAGTATGCAATGTTATCAAGAGCCGAAATGATAGCAAAACAAAAGCACTGAACGTAATGCTTACACAGCCCATTTATCATGATTATAACAAAAGCTAAACCTCATTCCTATAATTTAGAGTCGAATTTCAGAAATAATACATTTAGAGCAATCGAGATGATGGCCAAATAAATCGGCAAAAGCAAACAAAAAGCTCCCCCTTGGTCAATCCCCCTCAACCAAAACTCAAAATAAAACAGAAATTTGCATAGTGATCCCACTAGCTAATTTCGAAAAAAAAAMCGTCTCGAATAGAGATAAATTTCAAACGATTTTATCTTAAGTCTGTAAACACGTTTGCGTCGTTTCCAGTCGATCTAGTTTTGATAGCAATATAAATACGTCGTGTCACGATTTCCCCATCATATCTGCAATGTGTGGCTTTTCCGCTTAGAGCGGTTCTCGAAATAGAGCTGTGCTTCATAATGATGACTAGAAAGAGCAATGGCCAAGGCTTTTAGTTTCTGTAAAGTACTATCCATGGGTTAAATGCCCTTCAAATTAAGGATRTTCGCGTGAAGCTCATCTAGATAAAGATAAATCTAGAAAACAACGGAAATACTAGTGCATTAAAATGTAGCGGCTTTTTATTAGAATATTGGAAGCCGAAGTAAGCGAAAATATAGTGAAAACAAGGAGAAACGAAAATAAAACTATCAACGAAAAAAAAAGGAAAATAGCGCGCGCACTCCACTCAAAGARTGCATATCTTTTGAAAATGAAAATGGCTGCCGATCAATACTGCAACTCACAAGGTAACCGCGAAAATATACTCGTTATCGCTAGAATAGGGCTCGAGAATCTATGATAAGACGCCGCAACACGAGAACTACAATGCTATTGCTTCAGTAAATTTAGTTTCAGCGCGAACAGTTTCGTTAAGTAGCTCTGAATTCGAAAAAATAAATAAAAAAGCCTTGAATGTGCTAAATAATATTGGAATAAAAACAAAAACCTTATATCAAACTTGATTGATGGCTGTATTAGAAGAGCAGGCTAGAACAGGAAATTCAGTGGTCATTATTACACATTAGTCATCCATCAGGTATATTTGTAATAGCAATGAGTTTATTTTGAAATAGGAGTACAATTCGCCCATTAAAAGTACAACTTAGATCCGTTACAAGCAAGCCTTTTCCTTTTCGTACTTGGTCTAAAGAGTTTTTTTGTGTTTTAATATTTATGTTTCTTCTTAAATGGCTTCGCTATGTCTATACACATATCAAATATATATTCAATAAGGCAACACAATTTTTAACTTTTTAAAGCAAATTAGGTTGGTTAATAATAAAAATTTGTGCCTATAAATGAATGAATAAAGGTCATCTATTTACGTCTGCAATTGTTTACATGCACTCTCACTTTTCAAGTATTTCTGTCCGCTCTTTTCTTCCAATTTTTCCCTTCGCCCTTTCCATGCTTCTTCAATCTTTTCCTCGATCCCATCACTCCACTTGCTAGCCTTTCTTTCCCATTTTCTTTACGATCCTTTCAAATCCCGCCCCCCTCTTCGAACTCTCATCCATTCCCCTTGTTTTCAGTTTTCTCACTAACTTCTATTCTAGTCAAAGTGGTGCTCCTTTTAATCCCTTTCTTCCTTTCTCTTCCCTTTATTCATAGTTTCTTGTGCGAAATGGTTTATAGAACAAAGGGCATTTAGCCACCTACTTGTCTGTCTAGTAACTTATTTTCTATGTATTTATTTAGCAGTAACATGACTATCCTGATATTCTATTACCATAAATTGTCTGATTTAAAGCGGACATTTTCTAGTTTTATCCAATCGAAGCTAAAGTGCGTTGCTGGAATATTTGACTTTCAAAGTAGAGTTCACCAGTAAACAAACCGTTCTACAATCCGGATAAAATGAAACACAATACAAAATTGGCCGCATGCGTCCAGATAGCTAAGAACCAAGCTATTGCCGACATGTTGGATGAAAGGGAAATTCACGTTCCTCAACCAACATGGCGGCGGCTACACACCAAGAATAGACAACTCAATTTTAAGAAAACAAACGGAAAAGACAACAAAAAATATCACAATATTATAAATCGGATTTTACAAGGTCATGAAAATCAGTCCTCGATATATTATTTTTTATTATTATATGCACTTCACCGCATATACGCTTAACATTTGTAGTATAATTTTCGAGTCATTTTTGCTCAGTAGCACGTGCTTTAGATAGGGTTGATCGTGTTACATAACCTAACTAATCTAAAACAACGATATAGAGCATAAGTCCAAGGTTATATGAATTCGAGAAATTTAGAATCAAATCTTGAACTCAATCTGTGGTATCGCAGTTTAGTGAACTGATCGCGGCAGAAAGTCCGCGCCTGGGGGATATTCCATAGAAAAATTGTCAAGCTGACTCCTCTTGGCATGTATATAAAGGGAACCACTGATAGATGTGAAGAGTTTAGACCGCATTTCAATATATTGATGCCATAGGTGACAAAGAAAGTTTGATAAGACTTAGAACTTGATCATACCCCGCGAATTAAAGTCAATGACACAAGTGTGACAGGGAGAATAGGATATGAGCTGAGCTAGAAGTGTCGAACTTCAAATCCGACGAGTCACAATTTTCAAGTCGTGTTGCTGACATTTCTATATCGATACATGAATGGCTCCATTAGTCCAGAAATGAGTTGCTGTCGATTTAATGTCAATCTTCGTCCATTTTGATCTATATGAAGTTAGACTCCATTCAAAAAAAGTGTCAATTGCAATATTCCTCGTGTTCAATTTCCGCAAGCTTTAACTGTTTTACACAAGCGTTGTTTCACGGTTTTAGGAAAACCTCTTGTAATAACCACACGAAGGTGTCTAGAAAAAGTTGCTAGTACTAAATTGATATCTATTTAAGAAAGGAAATATACAATTGATATGTACTTCAAATTCAGACTGTATTTCAACATATCTGTGCTTTATATTCGCTACACCGAGCCAGTGAAACGCAAGAGCCTATTCCGCCCACACGATACGCGAGTTAAAAGCATCTGCCTAAACTGAGAAATCCAACATCAAACGACCTCAAATCGATACGACATTACAAGACAAGACCAACTCGGAGATTCAGATGTTAAGTTTTCAATCAAAGTTTCATATTTCGGTTACCATTTTTCACTTACAATCAATCAACTGGCATTGTATATATCTGTACATATCCTGACTACGACATGAGAGCAATATCTCTTTTATGTAAACAATCATTTAAAAGATAAAGATTTTCAAAGAGATAGCTCGTTCAGTTAAAAGAAGATTAAACATGTTTAATTAAGCGATGAATAACTTCACTGATGCACCAAAGCTTAGTATAGAATAAAACATAATGTAAAATTTAAGTTGTAATAATTAAATGGACAAGAAAGACAGAATACAATTAGAGACTCCTGTGAACCAGACAGGATTAACTCCGCTAATACGCTAAGCTTATTTAAAAAAAAAAGAAAATTGAAAATGAAATAAGAGGAAAAAAACATGGACTAATAAGACTCRTGGATTCGTTAGACAAAACAAAGGAAATATATACTAGCCCGCTAAAGCACATTAAAGTGTTTCTTCAAATTTATGTATCTGCGATATGAATAAAAGCAAAATACAGTCTCTGTAATATCGATACCCGCCCAAGCGTGTCAAATTACATTCACGTTGGATGGGCTTTTACGATTTTAGCTGACGCCACTAAACTGAAAAAAAAAAAACAAAAAAACAAAAAAACAAAAAAAAAACAAATGAATTTGCTCAAGTTACCTAACTTTTACATGTAAACAGCAAGACAAAAGCACTCAATACAGAAAATAACACAAATACGCAAAAACAAAAAAACAAAAAAAAAACAAATGAATTTGCTCAAGTTACCTAACTTTTACATGTAAACAGCAAGACAAAAGCACTCAATACAGAAAATAACACAAATACGCAAGGAAAAGGAGTCTTAGGATTGTAAAGTATCATCTCAATAGAAAAGCAATCTAAATTCAATCGTAAAAAATCTATCGGATATTTTTAGTTTTGGAAATAAACCAGCTCTGCAAAAATGGTTTGTGATAAACTATTTATACTTGACAGGAAACGTGGAAGAGGTCTCACAAAAATAAAGCATTAGACTTCCAATAACTATCCTGTGATKAAACCGCCCGCGCGAATATTTTTGTTTATCGAGGATTGAGCAACTATTAAGCAACATTGATAACAAAACTGTATCTCTCTCGCCAACGCAGTGCTCTAAAGACGATGACAGTTTATTCGATTAACATCGACTAGTTTGCTGTGATAATAGTTAGTCGCCCACAGAGGAAATGTTCAACGTGAAATCTCGCGAAAAAAAAGAAAGAAAACTTGGTTCTCGTTATATTTTCATATTTGAAAAACCACAATTGGTTATAATCTCTCACTGAATTCAATCCTGTACAATAAAAACATTGTTTTTTGACTTTATTACTGTTGGATAAGTACACTAACCCGTTTGTCCTCGGGCAAATCAGAGACCTTTATCATCAAGGGAATCAATGTTGTCAGTTTCTACTTTTAATCTCTCTCTTRTGATGAATCGGGATTATATAGGGATGGTTGAGCACATGTGTATCAAATTGAAAAAAATATATGAACCAAAATCGATGATAAGGGTCCAATTCTATCAAAGAGTTCAGTTTATACAATTTTAATGTGTTATGAGTTTTGATAATGAAACTACCTAAAGGCAAAATTAATATTTAATTTTGAACAGAAAAGACTGGAACAAGCGACTAAAAGAAAGAATGAGATAAATAAAATGTTACTTACAGACACCTCTATTATACCGACCACTGGCATGTAATACGGATACGACACATATTGTATTATAGAGGACGCCCCGCCCCGGTAATACGAACACATCTAAATTACATCTGTACTTCTATAACATGGCTCTACACTTTAAACCGRAACCTTTACTTCACAAGCACCTCTTTACGGACACCTCTATATTACGAACACCTCTATATTACGGACACCTCTATATTATAGACATCTCTACCTTACGGACTTTGAGCTTCTATAAATTAACATCGAGTAATCGGAAACACTTAGTTTTTGTTACAGAAACCTTGGCTTTAATCACGAATAACTACTATACTGTTTCTATGTTTCTATGTTTACGAACAGAAGAGCTTGTTTTCCTTAATTTTCTTTATTTTGTTAACAAGCTTTAAGTTTTCAACAAAATGTCTTCCGTTCGCAGCTCAGCACGAGAAAAAAACCGGCTCCTTTGAGCAGCTCACACGACTCGAATTAACAGGGTTACTTATTCACTGGAAATTCCGGACCGAATGGCTACATGCAGGGGACTTCAGTTCCTATAGCCGCTAAATGCTTTTACAACAAACAATTGCAGGACCGATTCTCTAATATATTATTTAAGCAATAAACAACACATTTTCGTGCGTTCCTGGTGAAATAAACAAGTCGGGATGTTGGGAGAATACGAAAAGGCGTAAAATTTTTTTTCAGGCCTTTGGAGTGTTTTCCCAATACCACAAGTGGTTTATTTCGCTAGGAACGCACGAAAATGTGTTGTCTATTGCTTTTATATTATAGCATTTTCGCATCTGTGCTACCGGTGAAATAAACAATAACATTTGACCAATCAGAGAGCGCGTACTATGATAGTTATAAGRAGGGGTAAAGTTATACACCCAATAGAAAAGGGTGGTCGGGTTCCAAAAGGTTTCACAATGAAAGCTATGACCGAAAGGAATCATGAAAAACATTTCCAAGGGCGTAAAAGCACAAGTGATGCAATAATTTTTAAAAATAACACAAGACTTCTAAATTTAAAAGACATGTTTCGACTTTCATAAAGCCATGATCTTCAGTTTGAATATGATTACATTTTCCAAATCAGTTATATAGTAGTTATAGATAGTATGATTAAATTACAACGGTCAAAAGTAAAAAAAAAACAAGAGATCAATTACAAGTGGATTGTGGTATTATAGTGTTTGGTCAAACAAGTCAAGTCGAAACATGTCTTTTAAATTTAAAAGTGYTGTGCTATTTTTAAAAATTAATCATGAGAAAGCAACTATTATATAAAACAGTGTTATAGTGTAAACCGATTGCCTATATCACTTTCTCTGATTCGAGTTTCTGAGTACTTAAAATTCTCTTCGATGATTTGCAAATATGCCAACTAGTTTATGACCATATTTAGTACTCAAAGCTCGATTYAAAATGGCTACCAAGATATCATCATATTTTTCTTTTTGTATACTTTTTAGAGCGTTATATATTTTATTGTGYGCTTAAAAAATACATTCGATTTAATATCATAAATGGGTTTACTTTCTTTGTGGAAMTACAGGCTCTTAAGGGGCCATGGTCCTCTTTCACCACTTGTAAGCTTTTGTTTATGTTGGAGACATAATATCGTAATATGAGCAATAATTTTAACGTACTCTTTATATCCCTTTATGCGATATGAATGGAGATATTGGTTAAGATTTTAATCTTAAAACTGACGGATGAAAACGGATTGCGAATGGATATCTAAGTCACGTCATTTGTGAGGGGAAGAAAAATTAAAGACCTGAGCCGGAATCGCTTCTTTTAAAACGTTAAAACGGCTTCAAACTCCGCCAAATGATAAAAGACACGTCAACTTATATAGTACAGCCACTCTTAAAAACACAAATTTATAGAATTCAAATTTTGACCGTTGACCGTCACACATATARAAGTTGATGTACTGAGATTGGGTTGCCTATGATTTTCCATGTATGAAAAATCTAAAAAATGACCGCGTTGAATGCCGGGTAGACCATAAACCTCTAACGAAAAGTAAACTTAAAATGCCGTGAATATTCCTAGATCTCTCAATAATGTTCACAGTGTGATTTAAGTACACGAGATTGAATCTATTGATTTTCAATAATTGCTCGTTAAAATACAAGATTCCGAGTCTCGTAACCACAAGGAGAACAAGTCAAGCCGAGCAATAATTTAAGTAATAAATATATATATAAAACAAAGATTTATTCTAGAACTCCACATCTAACGTCATTACCATACTTGAGGATCACTTTAAAGATGCAACATTTTAAATGATCAGGAAGATTTCGCAATCTGACAAATTACTCAAATTTACAAAATAACGACGCTTCAAGCTTCCTATTTTTGAGGAATTACTTAGCTTTGCACTAACAATTCATAAACAGTCSAAGCAATTTCAATGTTAATTCAACAATTTCGGAAAACAGTCACCTCCAAAGGTTATAAACAGGACACAAAAATAAAAAATACTGAAGAGTTACCAAAATGACTACAGGAAATAAGTAATAAAAAATTATAAGTACATGTATTATAGCATATGTTTGTAGCTAAGTGTACACTGTACCTAAATGCAGTGTATTACATATGGTTGCTATATACAGTGACTGATGATAACGACAATTTTTTTCCAAAATGGCGGACGAGGAAGACACTACCGAAGGACGTTCCACTTTCACTTCATAACGCATATGTAGAATCTTTTTCACCGTTTGCAATTGCTAATTAACATGTTTACCCTTTTTTACTACAGATGCAAAATCAAATCAAAAAGAAAAACAAGTGTATGGTAGTTTMAACCAATCGAGTTGGACGGGACCATTTTATCATGCAATAGTTTAATCAGTAAGACTTGAAAGCACAGAAGAAGGGCAAAAATGAATTAGGAAATGTAAGAAACTTGAGKTAATGACATAATTTTTATTACTAATCAATTTTGTTTGTATTTCACAATATGTAGTGACGAATTTTAGGGCATTGTTTCACATATTTTTCAGCAAAATGTCTGTAGATTTTCATTCAAAACACTTATAATCAATAAAAATAGTTAGAGTTTTAGCATCACGTTAACGGCAAACGGCTAACGGCAGAGCTAAACCAATGACCTATAAAGAATTTCGTGCCCGACTTTGTGCTTTTGGTAGTCATTTGAAATAGCCGCGGCTTTTAACGATTATGGCAACCTCAAAATACCCGCTCTCGCGTTGAAACTGCAACGCTAAACTCAAAAAAAAAAAAAAAAAAAAAAAAAAAAAAAAAACAGGTCACGTGATCTTTTCTGCCGTTTGGCGTTTGCCTTGAACTTCATGCTAAACCTCTGTACACTCCGCACAATTCCACTTCTCGCTTTCCTTTAATTCACAAATAATCAATGAATTTTGAGATAAAGTCTTACTAGTCATTTTGCACTTTAAYCTCAACTTTAAGAGAATTACACTATCTGCTTCTCTGTGCAGAACTTGGCGTGAAGTGGATAGATAAACCAAAGAATCTCAACATAATGGCACAAGAGCCCGATTACATTCAATTTTGATTAATKGAAGTCGGTAAAACAATCATTTTATCTTAAGAATAATCGTTTGTATGGCAATTCGGATGTAGAGGCACTCAGACTGAATTCGTTGATGGAATTCTTCTATCTTGCGCAAGAGAACTTTAGATTTAACAACCTGTCAGGCTCTCAAGCATCATTCAAATATAAGCTGAAATCTTACAGCAGGTTCATCATAAATTATTTCATTGTTATTAATAAAGTCAATAAAAGAAAGTATTTTTATTTTAAATTTTGTCTGTTGTTTAACAATTTCTCTCGAGAGACCGAGTGTGCATCTTCCTGAATTACAAGGCAATTAAGGACAAATTGCTGTAGTTAACCGGAAACACTYGAAAAAAGCCAAATGAACTCTCGATTCTCGTGATTTTAAGTCTTCCTTAAACTTCTTCGAAACCCCCGCGTTCTCAGCGTATTTYGTAGATAAACCAACAGTAATTTATCGTTAATTGCTTATATAACGTCCACTTTTAAATGGCTATAGCCACGCAAAAATGTAATTAGGATTATAGTCGATGGCSCTTTGAAGTTCCCCTTCACTACTGCCGTCTCTGGGCGGGTCCAAAATCATTGCACAATGGCCAAAGTCGTGACCGAAAGGTTACACGGGTAGTTCGGATATAGAATATTTCAAAAATAATATTTAGCGTTTTTGTTTGAGCTTTTTCCATGATTTAAACTTGTCGACGATAATTCAATGGAGAAACGTAGATTTTTGTTATTAAAATCRCGAAATGATATTGTAAATTCACTGACTTGTAAATTGATACTTTTCCCACTTGTTAAATATACGGAACTCGCTTCCCTCAGCCTGTTAAAATAAGAAAATGCATTTCAGCTAACGCTATGTGAACTGATAGCAAGTAAAACTGTGCATGTTTGACATGTATCGGGATATTTTCGAAGCACGCAACAACCGAAAACACYGACCGTTTTGAATATTTTTCAAAACGCTTATCAAAGCGTTTTGAAAACAGTTCTTTGCTCTTCATTTTCAGTTTTTTGTTGTTGAAAACAAAGATGGCGGACCTCTCTCTCTCCCTCTCCCCTCACCAGGTCAATRTCTACATCAGCAAACGGAGAAAAGCAACTGTTTCTCTGTAAAGATACGAAAAAGTCCCCACAAACCTGGATAATATTTACACCATGCCTTCAGCAGCTGCCAAGTTGAATAAGAATTCCTCCATAACAGCAGTTAACTTTCTTTGTTTCAGTGCTTCAAGAGTAATTTTAGGATGTGAGCCATCTTCATTGTCAACTGCAAGCTTTTTAAGGTTTGATATCAAATCTTTAGTTTTACTAGACAATTCCTGGAAACAACAAGGAATTTAAGTTATTTTCCAGTGAAGTTTATTTCAAGGATTGAAGTATCTTTCAAAGACACAGGGAGCCCACTATATTAGTCTAAATGGGGATTAAAATGCCAGGAACTAAAAGCAATGTTTGTAAAAAAAAAAATTTTTTTGCAGCCCTACAAGTTCTTTTTGCTGGGCTTCCTTTGTTATGAAGACCAAAGAGGAATGGGACTCACCCCCTCCCCTCCTTCATGTTTTATTCACCACAGGAAGCCCAGAGTTAGAGTTCCATGCAAAGAAACTCACCTTGATAAGTGATTGTTCAGAAGTATTTTCATCTTTGGAAGAATCAACCATAAACATAGCAATATCTTTATGCACTTTACCAAGTTGAAAGGCTTCTAAAAAATATATTTTTCAAATTTCATTAAATACTACATTTTCATGACTAAAATGCAAGGACAGTGATG